GCATGAATTTACTTGGCCACCCTCCCTCTGAGTTTCTGTGCTAGGACAATGGCTTTGGGGGATCCAGGGACATCCGGGGTAGAACTGGATTGTTTGGCATCAGGAAAAGATCTATGCCCAGACCACCCCTATTGCAGAGCTGACTGGCAGTCATATCTGAGTTTCCATCAGCCTGGTTCACACTGTTCCCTCCATCCTAGAGATTCCTCCTCATCCAATTTTCAGCCCCACCCAAGTTGTTTGCAACAGCTTTTTCATATGAATATCTCAGGTTTCAGATTTTTCTAAAATCTCTCAAACAAGCAGCAGCTCGTGTCTCTGTACTGCATACCTATCAATAAGAGGCCCAAGACCTTCACAGCTTGGCCTTGCTGGGGCACTTCCAAACACAACACAAGTATCAGCCATCTACAGATTGATGTGTAGCTCCTGCCAGGTGGCCCCAGGAAGTGGCTGACTTTGTACTTCTTAGGAGGCCCCAGAGCCAATGCAGCTGGTGGACAGCTTCAGACCACACCAGATTACAACTCTACACATCTACAAGTGACACATTCAAGGGGCAGTCTCAGTGAGCTCAAAAGCCCACTGAAGCAAGTTCTGCTCCATAGGGGTGTCTCCTGCACAGCAGTCTTCCACTATAGTTGCAGCCGGTCTTCACATCCAGTTGGCCTGGAGGTTAATCCCTCCCAGTGATGCCAATAGCAATCAAGGCTCAACTACAAGACTGTACACATGGCCCACACAAGGGTGCACATAGAGTGCCCAGCTCAGGTGACTGGGGAGGCCAAGACACTGTACCCTATAGGATACCTAGTATATAAGACCATTCTGCCAATTCCAGGAGATATAGCAGCTCTACTTAACACAGAAAACAAACACAGGGAAGCAGCCAAAATGCAGAGACAAAGAAACATGTCACAAATGAAAAAATAGAAGAAATCTCCAGAAAAAGAACTAAATGGAATGGAAGCAAGCAAACTACTAGATACAGAGTTCAAAACAATTGTTGCTCAAGGATCTTAATGAGACCTTCAAGTGACTTGGTGAGATTTTCAAGGATCTTAATTAAAATTTCAAGAACCTTAGTAAGAACATCAAAAACATGAAAAAGGACCAGTCAGAAATTAAGCAAACTTAATTTCTAGCTGAGAAAAAGAACAATTTACAGAGATTCAACAGTAGAGTATAGGATTCTAAGAATCAAATCAACAATTTGGAATATGAGGAAACAAAAAACACCCAATCAGAAGAGCAAAAGAAAAAAGAATACAAAAATATGAAGATAGTGTAAGGAGACTGTGGGGCAACTTCAAGCATTGTGGGATTCATTTGTATTATGGAACTATCAGAAGGAGAACAAAGAGCATGATATTGAAAACCTATTTGAATCAATAATGACAGAAAACTTCCCCTACCTTGTGAAAACATAAAAGTCCAGGATGTGCAGAGAGTCCCAAACAATATGAACCCAAAGAGGCCCATACTAAGATAATTCATAATTTAAATCCCAAGGGTTAAAGGCAAAGAGAGAATCCTAAAAGCAGCAAAAGAAAAGCAGTTAGTTAATTACAAGGGAGTGGCAATAAATATTCAGAGTGATATATAACAAGGACCTACAAACAAGATTACTCTATCCACAATGCTATCATTTAAAATTGCAGGTCAGATAAAGAGTTTCTCAGACAAGAAAAGGCTAAAGAGTTCATCACCACTAAACCAGTATTACATGAAATGTGAAGGGTGTTCTTTTTTAAAAGTATATTTTTATTGATTTCAGAGAAGAAGGGAGATAGAAGCATCAGTGATGAGAGAGAATCTCTGATTGGCAGCCTCCTGCACACATCCTACTGGGGATTGAGCTCCCAACCTGGGCATGTGCCCTTGACCAGAATCGAGCCCAGGTCCTTTCAGTCTTCATACCAGTCCTCCATCCACTGAGCCAAACCAGCTAGGGTGAAGAGTGTTCTTTAAGGAGGAGGACGAGAGTGTGGAGGAGAAAAAATAAAAAATATAAACAATTAAATGGCAATAAATACATATCTACCAACAACTCAATCTAAAAATAAGAATAAATAAGAAATATAATGAACAAAATAAACTGATGAATAAAATAGAACCAGAGGCATGGAAACATGAACAGACTGATGAATCTCAGAGGGAAGGTGGTAGGGCGGTGAAGGCCTGTTTTGGGGCAAGAACCAGGTGGAGAGGAAAATGTGGGGGAAAAAGAGGGGGCATTGGTAAACTCTTTATCTGACCCGCAATTTTAAATGATAGCATTGTGGATAGAGTAATCTTGTTTGTAGGTCCTTGTTATATATCACTCTGAATATTTATTGCCACTCCTTTGTAATTAACTGGAAAAAAGAGGTGGAGAGGAAAATGTGGGGGAAAAAGAGGGGGCATTGATAATAAGTCTATTATCTGAATAATAGACTTTTTTTTTTTTAAAGGCATAAGGTAGCTGAATGGATAAGAAAGCAAGACTTACGTATATGGTGTCTACTAGAAACCCACCTCAGAACAAAAGTTATACACAGTCTACAAATAAAGGGATGTAAAAAGTTATTTTGCATAAATGGATAGGAAAATAAAGCTGGGATAGCAATACATATACCAGACAAAATTGGCTTTACATTAAAGGCTATAGTAACAGACAAAGTACACAAAATAATGATAAAAAGGAACAGTCCAACAAGAAGATATAACACTGATAAACATTTGTGCATCCACATAGGAACACCTAAATATGTAAAGCAAATGTTGATGGGCATAAGGCTAGAGATTGACAGTAATGGAGTCATAGTAGGTGATTTTTACACCCCACTGACATTAGCAGGTCTTCCAAACAGAAAATCAACATGTTTCTAATGTTCTTGTGAGTTTCACTTTGTTTTGGCAGCACTTGCTGCACTTCCCACAGCCCATTAGCTACCTAGGAAGGAGCAAGGGAGGACTATAAGGTCAAGCTTAGTTATGCTAAGAGGGCTCTGCCCTCCAAGCTGGAACTTTTCTGTGGCCCTGCCGCAGGTCAGTCCAAGGCATAACCCTTAGCCTCTCCCTACCCTGGGTTACAGGTTAAATCCTAGCCCAGGTTGGCCACCTGCGGGAGTCAGCTAATCAATGTCTCTTTCACATTGATGTCCTCTCTCTCTCTCTCTCTCTCTCTCTCTCTCTCTCTCTCTCTCTCTCTCTCTCTCTCTCTCTCTCTCTCTCTCTTTCTCTCTCTCTCTCTCTCCTTCCCTCCCTCTCTTCTCTCCTGTGTGCTCTCTCTAAAAAGCAATGGGAAAAATATTCTCAGGTGAGGATTAACAGACAAAAAGAAATGGGCAAAGCATCTGAATATACACTTCTCCAAAGAGGACATACAGATTGCCAATAATCATAAGAAAAGATGCTCACTGTCTCTAATCATCAGAGAAATACAAATTAAAACCACGATAGTATATCACCTCACACCTGTCAGAATGACTTTCATCAATAAATCAACAAACAATAGAGTGCTGCAGTGTTGGTGGGAATGTAGATTGTTGCAACCACTGTGGAAAGCAGTATGGAATACCTCAAAAAATAAGAATGGAAACACCTTATAACCCAGCAATTCCACTTCTGGGAATATACTGATATACAAAGAAACCTAATACACCAATCAGAAAGAATATATGCACCCCTATGCATATAGCGGAGTTATTTACAATAACTAAGATCCATAAACAGCCCAAATGTTCATCAGTAGATGAATGGATAAAAAAGGTGTGGTACATTTCCACAATGGAATACTTGGATATAAAAAAGAATATCTTACCCTTTATGATAGCATGGATGGACCTGGAAATCTTTATGCTAAGTGAAATAAGCTAGTCAGAGAAAGACATGTAACATATGAATTCACTCATGTGGAATCTAATGAACAAAATAAACTAACAGCCGAACCGGTTTGGCTCAGTGGATAGAGTGTCAGTCTGTGGACTGAAAGGTCCCAGGTTTGATTCCCGTCAAGGGCATGTACATTGGTTGCGGGCACATCCCCAGGAGGGAGTGTGCAGGAGGCAGCTGGTCGATGTATCTCTCTCATTGATGTTTCTAGCTCTCTATCCCTCTCCCTTCCTTTCTGTGGAAAATCAACAACATATATTTTTAAAAATAAAATAAAATAACTAAATAGAAACAGACTCATAGATATGAGAACAGACTGATAGTTGTCAGAGAGAAGGCATATTGGGGGCTACATGAAAAAAAAATTGAAGGGATTGAAGAAGAAAAACACAGACAATAGTATGGTGATTACCAGAGGGAAAAGCGTCTGGTGGGAGAGGTAGAAGGGAGTTTAGGGGGAATAAATGATGATAGAAAGAGACTTGACTTGGTGTAGGGAACACACAATCACGTATACAGATCATGTATTGCAGAATTGTACACCTGAAACTATATAGTTTTATTAACCAACTAGTAGCCCTGCACAGGAATCCTTGTGCCAGTAGCTCACCAGTAGTTCGCTGCCACCCTCCAGTAGGTCTCTGCTCGCTGCCACACCTTCCTGTAGCTCCCCTGGGCCCTCTCCCCCACTTATAGCTTGCTGCCCTGCCCCCTCCTGTAGCTCTCTGCCCACTTCCCCACTCTACTGTAGCTCCCCTCATCCCCACCTCCCCCTCAGAGCTTGCTGCCCTGCTCCTTCCTAGAGCTCTCTGCCACCCACTTGTAGCTCCCTGCCCTACTCTCCTGATGATCCGTGATCCTGTGATCCAGCCATTACTGGGTTGGTTGTTATGCTTCACGGCGTAACAACCATTTGCATATTAAATCTTTTACATCTTTATTATATAGGATGTCACTCTAATAAATTAAATTAAATTAAAAGTATATAATCAGTATTTTTAGTTGAAGTTAGCAGGAATGTTGATGAAGATTCTTATTCTGCCATACTGTTGGAAAAGTAATGTCAGCTCTTTTATATTTTTGACATGAAGTTTGTTTGTTTGTTTATTTATTTTTGCCTCTAGCTCCCCATATATACTTCACCACCTCTTCAATCTAAATATATTGAAGAGCAGCCTGGTAAATTACAAATGGGCTTTGCCTCCATCCGCACTACAACTGGTCGTTACATTGGCTGGTGCAAGGTAAGTCTATTCTAATAGTTGTTCAGTATCGGAGGATTTCTTATTTGTATTACATACTAGTTGTTCCAGTTACCCACTGATGTGTAACAAACTACCCCCAAACTTAGTGGTTTAAAACAACCACCATTCTATTATATTTCATTATTTTGTAAATCAGGGATTGGATTGGAGTTCAGACAAGTGATTCTTCTGGTGTTCACAGAGGTCACTCATCGGTATTCATCAGGTGAATGGCCTGATCTATAGGTCCAAAACAGCTTCATTCTCATGCCTGGCAACTTGTCACAGATGCTAGAGCAGTGGGCTGAGCTGGGAATGTTGACTAAAGCACCTACACATTGCCGCTCAGGCAAGGTGCCCAGATAACTTACATGGACAATTCAGGGCTCCTTTAGAAAATTTTACAAGAGGCCATAGTTTGAATTTGCCAAAGTTCTTACTTATCCTCAGATGTCTAAGAAAATCACTTCTATAGCATTCTAGTGTTGTCAAGTCACTAAGGCTAATCCAATTTTCTGAAGGAAAGGAAAAAATGTCACCCCTCAATTACAAGTAGCAGCAAATAATTTGTGGCCATATCTACCACTACTTCATAGATTAAAGTAGTTCAACAAATATTTATGTCACCTACCATGTACAAAACTTTGGTTAGCCTGTTATATGAAATTCTGATATATATATATATATATATATATATATATATATATATATATATATGAATTTTAAAAAAAAATTTTCTTACAGAGAGGAAAAGAGAGATATAGAGAGTTAGAAACATCGATGAGAGAGAAACATCAACCAGCTGCCTCTTGCACACCTCCCACTGGGGATGTCCCCGCAACCAAGGTACATGCCCTTGACTGGAATCGAACCTGGGACCTTTCAGTCCGCAGGCCGATGCTCTATCCATTGAGTCAAACCGGTTTTGACCTGAGATTGCTTTTTAATTGCTTCTTATTTGACTAAGCAAAATTTTCATTTGTTTTGTATAGCTCAAAAGACCAATTTGACTAAAATGAGCTATGAGGCAAAATATAATTCACCTTATTTTGATATTTAGCCAATAATCAGCAGTACTCAGCAGCAGTGGAATAAGCTAATACAGTACTGACTGATGTTGCTTTATCATTGGATAAACATAAGTATGTTAACACCAATGTCTGAATTTTCAGTGTCATAATTATAATGCTGGTACCATTATTTTCATTATTCTGTAATAGCTACACTAATTTGTTTCAAATCTAGCCAATTGTGAACTTTGTGCTTTTTTTGTTTCTAATCCATTTTTTTTAAAGAAAAATCTAATGATCTGATTGAAATACCAAATCTGTGAACTCTAGGTATTCTAGATATTTAAAACGTCCAATGAATATATGGTATTATTTTTTTATTTCCTATCAAATAATTCTAATGGTACTGCTGGTACTGCACACTCTTAATAGTTTAATCTCAGAGTGAAATATCTTAACTAATGGATCTGAGTCATGCCAGCAACTAGATGATTCATATTTTAGTCTCCTGAGACCTAATTTTCCATATTGTCCCAAAGTTGTTTTTTCAGTGAGGTAAATTGTTCAGTGTGATACTTAAATTGCTATTTAACTATCATCCAATTTAAGACTGAAAGAACTGTATATTCTGTTAATAGGCTGAAACAATTAGGTTGAAGAAGGTCACTTTTTAATGTATTTCATCTTCAATGTAAATAATGTTTCCTCCCTAAATTTCCTTTAAAATGTAATATGTTCTTTAAAAATTAATTCTGACTCAAATTACGTTCTGCATTAAACTTGGAATCATGTAGGGCAAATTCAATTTCTACTCCTACTTCTTGATGATATTTTGAAATTTAGATAACAGTGATCCCCAGTGGTAAAAGTGAATTTCTAAACCTAGCTAAGGAAAATTTTCTAAAAGAAGTTACTAGTTTGTTTCTTCAATAGTTATATGATTTCCCAGTCACCTGGTGAATAAGGATAATATGAAGGTGAAATTTTCTCGAGGAAGTCCATAAAGAGAAGTAGTTTGGTGGCAATTAGGTCTATGTTGGTTTGTACAGCTTGAAACCATAGTGAACAAAATGAACCTGTGTATCTCTGAACACCATGAAAATATCTGAAGCAAAGTTATTAAAATCAAGATATCTCAATACCAATAATTTATTCGTTTTCCATCTAATATACTCTTTTCCATTTTATTTGCTTTGAAAATCTTTCTTTCTTGTTTTTATCCCATGGTTTGACAGCAGCTATTTTAGAGGAGGAGAACATATATTTAGATTATGTTTTTTGGTTTCTTCAATGGAGTACAGCATGTCTATGTGGAATTACTATGAAAAAAAATAATTTCACGCCTTATTTTTCTTCTGCTGTAATTGAGATAGTACCTATCACTTAATAAATGTGTATAACAATATTTCTTGTATCAAAATAAATTAGTTGGAAATAAGTAAAATAAAAAATTTGGCTTAAAGCTTTAATCCTTCCATGAGTTAATGAATCTTGATTTGTAGATAATTTATGTTGCTGTTGCTATTTAAAAACAAGATGGAGGCTAGCCTGTGTAGGATGATTTCTATCCTGAGATAAATGTCTTACCATAATTGGTTTTTTTCTCATTCTAATGCACACTTTTTAAAAAGGAGGTGAAGTACTTTTCTTTAGGCTTTATGTTGTTGCTGCTGCATCTTTATTAATCAGATTAGAGGTCTGGTGCACAAAATTTGTGCACTGGAGGGAGGGTATCCCTCAGCCCAGCCTGAACACTCTCCAATCTGGGACCCCTTGGAGCAGGCGTCTTCAAACTACGGCCCGCGGGCCACATGCGGCCCGCAGAGGAGTCTGATCTGGCCCGCCAGGTTTTTTGGGCAGTGAGCGCAGCCGAGGTGTTACAGTAGGAATTAGTAGTTCATATAGTCCGGCCCTCCAGCTCTCTGAGGGACCGTGATCTGGCCCCCACTTTAAAAAGTTTGAGGACGCCTGCCTTGGAGGATGTCCAACTGCCAGCAGTCACACATCCCTCTCACAATCCAGGACTGCTGGCTCCTAACCACTTGCCTGCCTGCCTGCCTGATTGCCCCTAATCACTTCTGCCTGCCAGCCTAATCACCCCTAACCCAGTGGTTGGCAAACGCATTAGTCAACAGAGCCAAATGTCAACAGTACAACGATTGAAATTTCTTTTGAGAGCCAAATTTTTTAAGCTTATTCTTCTACAGCCACTTCTTCAAAATAGACTTGCCCAGGCCATGGCATTTTGTGGAAGAGCCACACTCAAGGAGTCAAAGAGCCGCATGTGGCTCGCAAGCTGCAGTTTGCTGACTGTGGCCCTAACCACTCCCCTACCAGCCTGATCAATGCTTAACTGCTCCCCTGCCTCCAACCGCCCTACCCTGCTGGCCTGATTGCCCCCAACTGTGCTCCCCTGCCAGCCTGATCTTGCCCCCAACTGCCCTCCCTTGCTGGCCTACTGGCCCCCAACTGCCCTCCCCTGCCAAACTGGTTGTCCCCAACTGTGCTCCCTTGCCAGCCTGATCTTGCCCCAAACTGCCTTTCCCTGCTGGCCTGATCGCCCCTAACTGCCTCTGCCTGCTTGATCACCCCCAATTGCCCGCGGCTGCCATCCTGATTTTCCCCCCAACTGCCCTTTTCTACAGGTCTGATTTCGCCCCCAACTGCCCTCCTCTGCCGGCCAATTTGGTTCCAATTGGTCAGTTTCTATGCCAGTCAGCATCTCTGGGACTATCAATGGGGCCTGATCAGAAAGGCAGGGCTGATCAGCAGCCCTGGTGGAGGCCTGGAGAGAAATGGAGGCATGGCTGCTGACCAGGCCTGGAAAGAAAGAGAGGCAAGTGCTGATCAACAGCTGCCACCGAGGCTATGGTTTAGGCCACATGTGTCAAACACAAGGCCCGTGGGCCAAATCCGTCCTGCCAGGCCTTGCAATGTGGCCTGCACCGCGCTGTCATCACTGCACTCCGCTGCGTTTCCATCACAATGACAGTTTATGACTGTTCAGTAAACCATTCGGCCCGCGATTTAGGCTGGATTTTAGATTTTGGCCCCTTCTATGATTGAGTTCGACACCCCTAGTTTAGGCCCTGCTTCTCTCTTCAGGCTTCTCTCCAGGCCTGATTTGCAGCCCCTTCAGCAGTCAGTGCTGGGTTGCCATGGCAACCCAGTGCTGACTGCAGGACTTACTTCCAGTTGGTCGAGCCTCTCAGTCATTGTGGATGTGATGGACACAGGGTTTTTATATATTAGAATATTTCTTCTAAGCTTAAATATACCTTTCTTTACGCTTTATTTAAATTCCATTCAATTTTCTAGGCTATTATAAAATCAGATGACAAATATTTGTATTTCTGTAATAAATTTTGTCTGAGCTGTTCTGATTATTTTATAGGCAATACTTATTTAATATGAGGAAAATAGTAAACAAATATTATCCATGTTAAATAGATGGAAAAGAAAGAAATCAAGAGAAGCTAAGTTAAACAAATATCCTCATAGTGAATAAATAGGACAGTTTGATTTAGATTTGGATACAATGCTGTCAACATTTTAATATAATATCTGTGATGTCAACTGTTTGATCTAATTGTCAACATTTTCAAAAATGCTGATATCCTTTTTTCCCCTTTTTGCTTAGGGTGTTTATGTATTTGTGAAAAATGGGATAATGGATACAGTTCAATTTGGAAAAGGTAGGTGAATAAATCATTTGTAATTAGGAATGTTCTATTGTCTTATTAACTTGCAACATTAAAATGTGAAAAAATAAACATAGTATGTTATCCATTATTAAGTTTTAACAACAGTAAAGATACTCTGCATAGCAGTTTATAATAATAATACCAAAACAATACTATCTATAATTTATTTGACCATTATTATATGCTAGGTCATTATTATAAGCATTTTACATAACTTTTCTAATTTACTTTTTGTAGTAACTTTGTGACTTGGTATTTTAAATATTCTCCTTTTGCAGATGAGGGAACTGGGGTTTAGAAAGATTAAGTAGGTTGCCAAGACCACATAATTAGTAAGTGGCAGCATCTGAACTCAAAATGTCAAACTGTCTGTTTTATATTATATATTCATAAAGCATAAATTAGAAACATGATCCATTGTTATCAGTTACTTTTAATAAGTGCTACTTGCTGTTAAAATACTTAGTATTTTGCTATTGATTATTAGGAAACACTATACCATTTAGTCACACCCTATAATATTTGGGCTAATGTGTTTGAGTCTTTAGTTTGATAGTGGTGTTTGGCATCAGATATAGGTTCTTAATATTTTTTACCTAAGCCAGTTGTCAAAATAAATGTATAGAAGATACAAAGATCAGGGTAAAATCTTAAAAGTTTCTATGATATTGATATTGATGACCAGTATATGTATTATCATTATTTTATATATGTTATGGGAATTAATTTCAAATTATATTCTCATTAATCTTGAGGAACATCATTAAATAACTGATTGCCATTAAATAATTAACAATAATAGAAGAGTGTGGACTGCATAGAACCAATACAATTCAAATGTATAAAAAGCTAAGAAATCCAGTCTTCTGCACACTCTACATCTACTTTTTGTCTAGGCTCACTTCTCATCCTGATCATTTTTTTTTTTTAATCCTCACCCGAGGATATTTTTGCCCTTGATTTCCAGAGAGAGTAGAAGGGAGGGAGGGGGGGAATGAGAGAGAGAGAGAGAGAGAGAGAGAGAGAGAGAGAGAGAGAGAGAGAGAGAGAGAGAGAGAGGAAGAGAGCATTGATGTGAGAGACACATCAATTGGTTGCCTCCCTTGACCAGAAATTGAACCCGTGACCTTTCGATCCACAGGCCAAAGCTCTAACCACTGAGATAATCGGCCAGGGCCTGATCATCTTGATTTTAACCAAGATCAACATCGTCTCTGAGGTTACTGGGAGTAGTGGCATGCAGGATTTAATGGCTGCATGTATCCCTAGACTATTATTTAAAGTTCTCTAATAAAGTATCTATTTCATTGCTTACTGGATCCTACCAATGTTTGAGTAGATAAGGTCATAATAATTTCTATTATATGTATATAGTACTTAATCAAAAATTTACTTTATAATAATCCATATTAAGGTATTGACTGTAGCATCATATTTCATTGAAGTGTAATAACCTGTATTGTTCAGAAAGCAAATATAAAATCAGCTATGGAAGGAAGATTTAATTTTGTAACAAGTAACTATTATAACTAGCTTTTAATTTGCTGCTTAAATCATTATTTTGTATAGTTCTTTTGAAGAGTGTTTAAACCTTTTGCTATTATCTCTAAATTTTCTGCATTATACCTATTTAGAATGCCCAGTTGTATTATCATTTATATTAATTTTTCACTGATTTCTTGAGATGCATATGTTTATCTGAAGAATCCACCACGAGATTTTCTTCCAAAAGTTGGTGTGATTACAGTTTCAGGATTAGCAGGCTTGGTTTCAGCAAGAAAAGGTAGGATTAAAAAATATTTTTTCTCTCTTTTTCAATTACAGTATATTAATTTCTGAATTTTGTCACAGAAAAACTTCATATCTTTTATTGAATATTATTAGGATAGTCTACCTTAAAACATTTAGATTCTACAGTACAGCATGATTACTTTTATTAAAACCTTTTTGTGTTTTTAAGAATTTCCAAAGATGTTCAACATCACTAGTTATTATAAATGCAAATAAAAACTACAATGAGATACTACTACACACCTTTCAGAATGTCTAAAATTAAAAAAGCTCTCCCTCCTGGTAGCACACCCCTGCCTTCTGCCTTTCCCTTTCTCCTCTCCCTGCCCCCACACTCCTCCAGCCCTCCACCCCGCACACAAAAAATATGATAAAATTAAATTTAAAAGACTAACCATACCAAGTATATTTAAGAATGTAGAGCCACTGAAACTCTCAGACACTATTGCTGGGAATACAAAATGATGCAGTCATTCTGAAAATAGTTTGTCAAAAGTTTGTCATAAAATTAAAGATATGCTCACCACTCTTGGGAATTTACCCTGGAGAAATGAAAAACATGTGTATTTTTTTAAAATATATTTTATTGATTTTTTACAGAGAGGAAGAAAGAGGGATAGAGAGTTAGAAACATCGATGAGAGAGAATCATTGACCAGCTGCCTCTTGCACACCCCCCACTGGGGATGTGCCCGCAACCAAGGTACATGCTCTTGACCAGAATCGAACCCGGGACCTTTCAGTCTGCAGGTCGATGTTCTATCCACTGAGCCAAACTGGTTTTGGTGAACACAAATGTTAATAGCAACTCTATTCATAATCACCAAAAGTTGGAAATAGTCTAAATGTATTTCAGCAATTAACTAAACTGTGGAACATCATAAAAAGGAATTCTACTTGGGCAACAAAGGATGAACCATTGATACTCACAAAAATCTTGATGAATCTGAGTTAAACAAGACATTCCCAAAAAGTTTAATATTGTATGATTTCCATTGTATGATTTTTTCAAAAATACAAAACTATTGTGACAATAAACACGTCTCTGGTTCCCAGGGGTTAGGAATAGAGATAAGGTGTCAATACAAAGGGATAGCATGAGATATTTTTAGGAGCAATAGAGCTATTTTATTTTATTTTTTAAATATATTTTATTGATTTTTTTACAGAGAGGAAGAGAGAGGGATAGAGAGTTAGAAACATCGATGTGAGAGAAACATCAATCAGCTGCCTCTTGCACACTCCTTAATGGGGATGTGCCCGCAACCAAGGTACATGCCCTTGACCGGAATCGATCCTGGGACCTTTCAGTCCACAGGCCGATGCTCTCATCCACTGAGCCAAACCGATTTCGGCAATAGAGCTATTTTATATCGTGATTGTAGTGGTGGTTGCACAACTCTATATCTATATAAGATCATTTAAAAATAATATTTTAAAAAATATAGCTATTCCTATTAATATTATAATGTATTCTTTCCCATCTTCTAGAGAACTATTTTTAAAAGGTCTTAAGAATCTCTAGCTAGCAAAAAGAAAAAGATCTTGAGAGTTTTACAGTAATGTAAAACTAACCACTCAAACTACTTTTCCTTGCTTAGTCATAACAACCAATTTTCTGGAGGCTATATTAAGGATTTGAGACAGAGATATTGACATATGAGAAAAAAATGTATTCCCTCCTGATCCTGAGATTGCTGGAACTGACATCAGCCAACTCAAAATGGAGTTTGAAAAGTAGGCAAGTGACTCACCACTTTCCTTTAGTACATCACACTTAATTTATTTTCTTTCCACCCTCCTTGCACTCCATATCTCTACCAAATTTGTCCTTCCTTCCCACCGTACTACCTGTGTAGTGAGTCCTAAGACCACCTCCAGGTTTTCCCATTAGCTAGGAAGGCAGATTTATTGCAAAGATTTATTACACTGAAAGGATGCAAAGTAAAACAGCAAAGGGAAAAGGCACGTGAAGCACAACTTAGAGGAAACCAGGTATAAGTTTTCAAGAGTCCTCTCACATAGCCGAAACCTGTTTGGCTCAGTGGATAGAGCGTCAACCTGAGGACTGAAAGGTCCCAGGTTCGATTCCGGTCAAGGGTTGTGGGCACAACCCCAGTAGGGGGTGTACAAGAGGCAGCTGATGGATGTTCTCTCTCATCTATGTTTCTGATTCTCTATCTCTCTCTCTTCCTCTATGTATCAATAAAATATATTTTTTTAAAAAGAGTCCTCTCACAGTGGAGCCATATAAAGTGCTTAAATCCTCCACTAATGACTTGTGACATCATGTCATTGATATCAAGCTCTTTAGAGACTGAGTGACCAAGGTTATTATCGGGGCTGGTCATGTACATATTGTCTGTCTAGCATCTATGCAAATTCTAGACTCCCAGAAGGAAAGTATTGAGATAGTTGTTCATCATAAACCACATTACTTATACAAACAATTTAGGCACAGTGTAACATCTTATCAATCAGGGAATGTTTACTGTCATTGTAAGGAACTGCTTACCAAACAAGTACCCAGATGCCAGATAAGAGCCAGCCTGGCAAGCAGGCCTTCCTAACAATGGCAGTCTTGGACATACTCTGTTAACTCCTTTTTCCATATCTTTAAATAACTTTCTTCATAAGCATGTGGTGAATTTTGTATTTTCCACCTCTAGTTATAGAAACCGCTCAGTAGACATTATTACTGCTTCCTCTCCTTAGTCAAGTCCTTTCTAAGCATCAGTAGTCATTTTGGTCATCTTTCATTCATCCTCTGTCCACAACTAAGTTGTCAATCGTTGTCCCCAAAGTAAATTACATGGAGTTGGAAGTCACAGCTCTGAACCAGTCTGGAATCTGTTATCAGATAACTTTATTTATTTATTTATTTATTTTTTAATTTTTTAATTTTTTTTTTTTTTCTGAGAGGAAGGGAGAGGGATAGAGAGTTAGAATATCAATGAGAGAGAAACATCAATCAGCTGCCTCCTGCACATCCCCCACTGGGGACGTGCCCGCAACCAAGGTACATGCCCTTGACCAGAATCGAATCTGGGACCCTTCAGTCTGCAGGCTGATGCTCTATCCACTGAGCCAAACCGGTTTTAACTGTTTTGTTTTCCTTAAACATGTTTTCACTTTCCCTAAACTGTAAAGTTGCCTGCAAACACTGCCATATATTTTTCACCTTAGTCTTTCCTGATATATCAGATAGGCTGTTTCATTTTAAATTAAGGAATGTAAAGAGTTGTTCCAGAGAATTAAAGTACTTATCCCCAATTACAAATCCCATCATCTAACTACGGAGATCATATTTAAAGATTCTAAGGTACCCAGACAAGCATTTAAAGATACATATTGTTTTTGCAACAGTGGTCTGTTGGAATTAAGCTATGGCTTTTAGAGTGATGGGTTTCGAACTGTTTTACAGCACCCGGCGTTTGGTGGAAGTTTAGGGGTGGTATGAGGAATAGGGAAGGGAAAAGCTATGCAGGTAGTGCTCAACACTGGGCTTCCCTCCTGCGAGCTAATCAGAGTGGTTTCAAGTTTATAGGTTTTATATATGAAATTGCTAGTGACAGTCTGTCTCTAAGATTTGTTTTGAAAAGGATTTTACTGTACAAAATGGTTTGAAAATGACCCTTAGGTGCTTAGATAAGACACTTTTAGAAATGAATTGATTATCTCGTTACTTGTAATTATTAAATGGTTACTTCACTATTCCTAGTTAATGACATGAAGGAGTTATATACTTTTTAAAGTCCTTAGCTGATTAGTTAAGTGGATCTTTCACCTTCTTAAACACTTAATCATAAAAAGATATATAAAGTAAGTCCATTTCAATTTAACATGGCTTAGGATGTGAAAAAATATCTAGTTTAAAAAAGAATGAATCATCAATCACCTTTGTATAGGTAATTATCATGTTAGATTGAGAATACTTTCTTAAATTGGATGTGAAAACTAACGTATATTAATTGAATTGTGATCCTTAAGAACATCTTGATTGGTATTATTACCTAATGTGTAATTTAACATAGGGTGATGGCTTAATGGGAATAAAGATAATATTAAATTACAAAAGCATCAAGTTTTTCGTAGTATCCATTAGGAGTTTAATAGTTTCTTTAAATTTCTTAGGTTCTAGATTTAAGAAAATTGCTTATCCATTGGGATTGGCCACTTTAGGAGCAACTGTTTGTTACCCAGTTCAGTCTGTAATAATTGCAAAGGTAAGTTGTTTTAAGTGAAAGCTGCATTTCAGTATTTGTTTACATTCTTAGTATGATAATATTTTAATGTCATACAGTATCTAGAACATTTAATTTTCAGAGACATTTATTTAGTATCATCTCTTACATTGGCAGAATCACATTAGCATCTCAACATGGCAATGCCATTCCTAACTACGTGATCATCACAAATAAATAGGATGAATTTGTTTCAACATAATTCATCATTATAAATGCTATGTGATGATTAAGTTCAGAGACGCTGAATTAGAACTTATGGAGATAGCCCAACCGGTTGTAGCTCAGTGGTTGAGCATTGACCTGTCACAGTTTGATTCCTGGTCAGTGCACATGGTGGGGTTGCGGGCTCCATCCCCAGTAGGGGTCATATAGGAGTCAGCCGATCCATGATTCTCTCTCATCATTGATGTTCCTATCTCTTTCTCCCTCTCCCTTCCTCTCTGAAGTCAATAAAAATATTTTTAAAAAGAATTTACGGGAATAAATACCATTCATTCTATTGTAGAGTTATGTAAAATTCAAATAACAGAAAATTATACCTTCTGGCAGCTGTCATTTGGACAAATTAACATAATGTAAGAAACAGCCATTTGGTAGGTATCCAGACAAGATAACAGAGGCTTCTGAAAGTGGAAAATAAATACATACACATATATAAACTAAATTTTGAAACCATCTGGAACTAAGTAACATTTCCCATGAAAATCCATATTATGGTTGTTTTGTCATTTTTTTTTTTGTTTGTTTATCTGCAAATCCAAATATTTTCCTAGTAATTTTAATAACATGTGTCAGTATTTTATTTTGTTTTTAACACAGATTCTGAGTGAGGAGAGCTTTGTAATATTCAGTATTTTCTTCCTTTCTTTCCTTCTTCTTTTAATTACCAATATTTAAAATTTCCCCCTCACACTGATGCAGTGTATAGTGCTACCAAAAGGGCTTTCTGTACTTATCATTATGGAATCTCTTAAATTATTGATGTAAATAAAAATGTGTGTTCAGTACTTTAAAATGTCAAAGATATAGAACCCTCTGTAGTTTGTAATATAATTAAATTATAGAAGCATATAGCAAACAAACAGAACATTATTCATTAAATCTTATACTTGAGATAATTGATGAATAAAATAATACACTTATTTTTTTAAATCTTTCCTAAAATTAATGAAGGATTAGCTACTTAAATTCATGTAATATTAGTACAGAAAGCAACCTTTGATCTCTTTACATTCAACTTTCTCAGTTAACTGGCCCAGAAAATGTCACAGTATCTAATTTGTCTAGGGCTCTCTTCAGCTTCAGTTGTTGTACTTTCATGTTCATTTTATCTTCCCAGTGCATGATACTGCCACTGATTCTTTTTGTTTGTTTACATTAATGATAGCATGTGTTTTTAAAATAAAATTGATACCTACTCATCCTTAAATAATTTAAGTATTAAAAAAAAAGTGTAGGAGAAAACAAAGCCCCTGAAATTCATCCATTCAGAAAAATATCAGTGTTAAAATTTGATAGGATGTTATTCTAGTCATTTATTCATGCCTGTGTAGAGATAGAAAAATAGGTGGGTGTATAAGAACAGGATCATAGTATGCATTTTATTTTGAATTTAAAAAATAAAGTATTGCCGAAACCGGTTTGGCTCAATAGATAGAGCGTTGGCCTGCGGACTGAAAGGTCCTGGATTCGATTCCGGTCAAGGGCATATACCTTGACTGTGGGCACATCCCCAGTAGGGGGTGTGCAGGAGGCAGTTGGTCGATGATTCTCTCTCATAGATGTTTCTAACTCTCTATCCCTCTCTCTTCCTTTCTGTAAAAAAGCAATAAAATATATTTTAAAAAAAAAAGAAGAAAGAAAGAAAGAACCACCAGAGAACAAAAAATAAATAATTAAATAAATAAATAAATAATTAAATTCAATTTACTTTCACAGATGGAAATATAAAAAAAGAATTGCTTATCTTTAAATAAAAATTTATATGTTAAGAGTTACTAATATGAATTCCTAAAAGTTCTTTTGTGGTTAAATAATTGTTACTTAAATTTCTAGAGTTTGGACTCTTACTTTCTTTTAAATGTCTCATAACAATGTCATATGAAATATTTGGTGAATTCTAATATAACATATATATATATATTAGATATTTTATGTGAATATATATTTGTATACATTAGATAGAAATGTATATATCTATAATATGGGTCCTTTTAAAAATTTATTGGTTTTTTTTATTGATTAAGGTATTACATATGTGTCCTTGTCCCCCATTATACCCCCCCTCTCATGCCTTCACGCCCTTGGTGTCTATTGGTTAGGCTTATATGCATGCATACAAGTTCTTTGATTGATCTCTCCCCCTAGCCCCCATTCTCTCCTACCTCCCCTCTGAGGTTTGAAGGTCTGATCAATGCTTCTCTGTCTCTGGATCTGTTTTTGTTCATCAGTTTATGTTGTTTGTTGTATCCCACAAATGAGTGAGATCATGTGATATTTATCTTTCTCTGACTGGCTTACTTCACTTAACATAATGCTCTCCACAGTTCCATCCATGTTGTTGCAAATGTAAGAATTCTTTCTTTTTTATTGCAGCATAGTATTCCATTGTGAGATGTATCACAGCTTTTTAATCCACTAATCTGATGGTCACTTAGGCTGTTTTCAAATCTTAGCTGTAGTAAATTGTGCTGCTGTGAACATAGGGGTGCATATATCCCTTCTGACTGGTGTTTCTAGTTTCTTGGGATATATTCCTAGAAGTGGGATCACTGGATCAAATGGGAGTTCCATTTTTATTTTTTTGAGGATACTCCATACTATCTTCCACAGTGGCTGCACCAGTCTGCATTCCCACCACCAGTGCACAAGGGTTCCTTTTTCTCCGCATCCTCACCAGCACTTGTCATTTGTTGATTTGTGTGCTTGTTTGTTTGTTTGTTTGTTTTTATTGATTAAGGTATTACATATGTGTCCTTATTCCCACATTACCCTCCCCATCCCCACCACTCATGCCTTTACCCTCCTGTTGTCTGTGTCCATTGGTTAGGCTTATATGTATGCATACAAGTCCTTTGGTTGATTTCTCCCCCTTACCCCTTCCCCTTACCGTCCTTATGAATTGTTGATGATAACCATGCTGACAGGTGTGAGATGATACCAAATTTTCATTTTAATTTGCATCTGTCAGATGATTAGTCACTTTGAGCATATGTCTCTTAGCCTTCCTTATGTCCTCTTTTGAAAAATATCTATTTAGGACCATTGTGCATTTTTTGAGTGGGTTCTTTATCTTCCTTTTGTGAAGTTGCATGACTTCTTTGTAAATGTAGGAGATTAAACCCTTATCGGAGATAACACTGGCAAATATGTTCTCCCAAGCAGTGGGCTTTCTTGTAATTTTGTTGATGGTTTCTTTTGCTGTACAGAAGCTTTTTACTTTGATGTAGTCCCATATGTTTATTTTCTCCTTAGTTTCTGTTGCCTTAGGAGCTGTATTAATGAAGATATTGCTTCAGCATATGCCTGAGATTTTACTGCCTGTGGATACCTCTAACGTTTTTACGGTTTCCTTTCTTAAACTTAAGTTCTTTGTATGTTTTGAGTTTATTTCTATGTATGGTGTAAGTTAATGGTCTAGTTTCTTTTTTTTTTTTTTGCATGTATCTGTCCAATTTTCCCAACACCATTTATTGAAGAGACTCTCTTCCCTCCATTATATGTCTTTGCCTCCTTTGTCAAATATTAATTGAGCATAGTGGTTTGGGTCAATTTCTGGGTTTTGTATTCTATTCCATTAATCTATATATCTGTTCTTGTGACAGTACCAAACTGTTTTGAGAACAGTGGCTTTGTAATACAGCTTGAAATCTGGTATTGAGATCCCACCTAATTTTTTCTTCTTTCTCAGTATTACTGTAGCTATTCGGGGTCTTTTATTTTATTCCAGATGAATTTTTTGGACAGTTTGTTCTAGGTCTGTGAAATATGCCGTTGACATTTTAATGGGGAGTGGTAATATGGACACTTTAATGATGTTTATTCTACCAATCCATGAGCATGGTATGTTCTTCCATCTGTTTATGTCTTCCTCTATCTCTTTTTCAGTGTCCTGTAGTTTTCCAAGTAAAGGTCTTTTACCTTCTTAGTTTGGTTTATTCCTAGGTATCTTAATTTTTATGGTGCAATGGTAAATGAGATTTTTTTTAAAACTCTCTTTCTGTAAGTTCACTATTGGCATATAGAAATGCCATAGATTTCTTGGCATTGATTTTGTATCCTGCTACATTGCCAAATTCATTTATAAAGTCTAATAATTTTTTGATGGAGTCTTTAGGGTTTTCTGTGTACAGTATCATGTCATCTGCGAATAAGGACAGTTTTACATTTTCTTTTCCAATTTGTATGCCTTTAATTTCTTCTTGTCAATTGCAATGGCTAGTACTTCCAGTACTATGTCAAACAGAAATGGTGAAAATGGGCATCCCTGATTTATTCCTGTTATTAGGGGAAATGGTTTTAAATTTTGCCCATAGAGTATGATGTTGATTGTGAGTTTGTCATATATGGCTTTTATTATGTTGAGGTATGATCCCTCAATTCCCATTTTGCTGAGAGTTTTTATCAAGAAGGGTGTTGGATTTTTTTCAAATGTTTTTCTGTATCAATTGATATGACTATGATTATTATTTCTCAATTTGTTTATGTGATGAGATTTTAGTAAATGATAATGGTGACATTTCCAATCCATGACAGGAAAGATAAACAGTTTTGGGCTTTCCCATTGTTGCTCAGTGGTTAAGCATCAAAACCAGAAGGTCAGGGTTTGATTCCTGATCAGGGCACATGCCTAAATTGAGGCTCAATCCCAATCCCCAGTGTACAGGAAGCAGTCAATCAGTGATTCTCTCTCATCATTGATATTTCTATATCTCTCCCTCTCTGTTCCTCTCTGAAATCAATAAAAAATATTTTTAAAA